CAAAGAGCCAACGCACAGAAGCCACACTGGGGAGTACAGCTCTGGCTTTATCTTCCCTCCACCGCCCCAGTCTCTCTCCCCCCTCTGTGTGTCACACACACACACACACACACACACTCACACAGACACAAGCTCCACGCACAGCACCTCCATCTTTTCTCGCTTTCTCCGTTTCTCCTTTCTTTTCATATGCTAAAAGCCTCCTTTTCTGCACCGGGAGTATTTCGCTTATCAGCGAGCCCCCTATGGGGACGCCACTCAATTCTATTGTGCAAAGAAACAACAACATAAAGCGGCAGGGAGGGGAAACGTGTAAGTGGCGCACACGGCGGCAGCAGTCAGAGGATATTAGGCCGCAACTTGCGGCCGAGTCATTCTTCGCAGATGTTTTGGCGTTAGGAGAAGTTTTTTCCTTTTAGTCGGGCGTCCTGTGGGAGAACGTTGTGAGGCCGAGGGAAAGTTTTTTTCCAAGAAGTCATAGTTCCCTTCTGGGCTGCTTTGGTATGAGACCGGAGAACCTGTTTATAACGTCACATAATGGGATGTCGTTAATCACCAGACCCGGCTGAGGCTCCACGAGGTTAATGACGATGTAGCCGAGCTCTCGACTGTGTCCCCCTCCTCAGGTATTTGTCAGCGTCAGCAGCAACCTGGGAGGAGGGGGGGGGGGGGGGGGGCAGTTCATAGTTCTCTGCCTCACAGTGCTCACCTGTCACCGCACCGGTCTCCCTCCAAGCCGCTCGCTTTCTCACCCTCTTACTCAATGTGTAATAAACGCGCCAGAAGCTTCTTCAATACGGATTAAGTTTTCGAGATGTGTGTAGTGTTACATTGTTTTATAAAGCACTGCGACTGTGGGGTTTTGACTTCTGGTGACGCCACCTTTGGTACAGAAAAATGGCAGCGTGTATTACCCAATACGGGCCGAGTAGGATGCTGCATTGACGACAGCTCAGAAAATACGGAACAAACCTCGTCCCGTATTGATTCAAAACGGGACGCGTTGTTTTATTCTCAAATACGGGACGATTATTGTAAGGGACGGGTGGCAACCCTGTCCGCAACAATGGTGCTAGCTTATTGTGTGGGTTACTAGCAGCCATGTTAGCTTTGGGCTAATCGAACCTTGGATATGGTTTAGCTCACTAGCCATCGGCCAGCTAGCAGCATGTAGCATTATTTATGTCAATCTGGATTCACAGTTGAGGCAGATCGAAGTTTGTATTTCCTATATATATATATATATATATATATATATATATATATGATATCATAGCTATTCTTTCCGATTAGCCGGATGAAATACTTGGTCATGTTTTCTTACCAGCAACCACCAGAGCTGCTGCCAAAGCCTTCGGGCTAATCACACTAGTAATGTCAGCATAGTAGAACAAGGGCTCCCCTGTTTAACACCATGAAATCATACACCAGGCAGAATACACACACGCACGGCCGCGCTCTACCTCGCCATGACACGCGCACAAACCAGGACATCGGCATGCATGCCTCTTTGAAACAAACGAAAAATAAAATCTTCAAGCCCTGAAGGCCACGACAGCTCAGAGTCAAGAGAGATGTCGATGACGATCAAGCAGCGCAATGAAGGAATGGCACCGCGCTCAGTGTGGCAGTCCCCTGCTGAGCCGCTAAAGCAAGCAGAAGCATGCCGGCAAGGTCTGTGTGTGCGTGTGTGTGCATGCGTGTGCGTGTGGCAGGTGGCGCTGGAAAAAGGCACAAGAGCAAACAAATCCAACCCGACACACAACTGGAATACCAAAATAAAAGCACTTTGAGAAGTGGCATTCCTCTCTTGCTATGTATAAAATAGTTCTTTACTAAACCTCACTGGGTTACGCTGATGTGCAGCGCTGCTTTAAGGAGAAAGAGATGAGGGGGGAAACTTCACGACACTTGTTTGTGTTGTTGAAATCAGGGCAGGAAGTAAACCGGCGCTCTCGCTCAGTCGCAAATAAGATGACCTATTTTGAACACGCTGGGAGACGAGGATCTCTAAACCGTATCTGAGATAATAATATATATTTTTATATATAATATATATATATATATTTAAATACACACACAGGCTTAGAGAGCAAGGACCATTCCTGTATTGTGTTGTCTGGACAAAAAGGCTCTGTTTCCAATTAACACCTCTGAAGTGAGTTTAAGGAGGTCACATAACATCTCGAGGTAATTTTACCAGATAAAAACATTTCATCACAAAATGAAATGCTTATTCTACGTGAATAATGTGTTGCCTCGTCTCACAACACTTTCCAACCTCTGTTGCAATCAGTTTGTTTAAAGAAGATGTTAATGCTTTAAAGCTGTAGCTTTTAACTCTCAACCTGATTTCACTAATACAGTGAACAGTTATGTTTGCTCAATGTTGTCAAAGAGCAGTAACTATGGTATTTTCTTGATTATTTTACCACAGTTGGGTTGTTTAAACACAAATATGTGCAAATGAGAGGAATGAGCACTACCAGATCCGGGTTGCAGAATCAATACCGTTTTAAAAATAGGTGTTGTGAGCAGCCACCCTGTCGTGGGTCCCCCTGCAGGGAGAGCCTGGATCCAGCCCAGCCAGCGGATTCTGCACAGCTGGATGGACAGAATCAGTGCAAACACGTCTGCCGTGACATTTTTTCTACCACTGCGAGATGTGGCGCGCAGCAGAGAGGCGGCAGATGCGGCCGCCCGCCAAGGTGTGCCCTGATTAAACAAGCCAGACAGGTCTGATTACAAATGGGGGGGGGGGGGGTATGAATGAAAGGAGCCGAGCCTGACCGAAGAGATTTTGATGATCCAGACTACTCGTCTCTGAAAAGCTGCTCATCAGTTAATTCTGGTAAATCACAGTGATCATTCGTACCGGCGGCACAGGAGACCGAGCCACTGCAAGCTGCGGGAGCTGTGTGTGTTTGTGTGTGCGCGTGCAACGTGTGCACAAGCATTCATGTGTGAACATATGGGCATGAGGCCGAATCCGTGTGTGAATTACGCTGCGAGGAACTGCATTAATAATAGTTCAACTCTCCCTCTGTTTGGGACGTGATGAGTGGGCCTTGTAATTGGTTAGTTTAATAACTGGAGAGAAACCGAGTGTTCACTGCCTCTACACACACACACACACACACACACACACACACACACACACACATGCAGGCGCTGGAACACACTCCACTCTAATGTCAGGGAGACATTCACACGCTGGTCTGTTTAATTTAGGTCTGGGCGAATATAATAATTATGTTTATAGAAGATTTTCCAGAGTAAATTGCCCTTTTCTGTCCTTGGAGACGGAGAGATGACCACATTCTGTTTTGGGAGGTTTGTTTTTAAACATCGCTTCTCAACTGTTCAACCAGGTCGGAAAATATGTTCTTATAAAGGATGTGAAAGCATCCAGGCTTTTATTTCATGGCAATAATAATGTCTTTGATCAGAGAGAGAGCTGCGCCTCAGTGCCTCCCTGCACTACAGTAAGTGTGTGTGTGTGTGTGTGTCTGTGTGTGGGTGTGTGAGATCGATGGAGTCAGTATAAACTACCCATGAAGGTGCGATTCAGAACGTGATTTTCTGTGTTTTTATGATGTTGTAAACGTAGCCGGCTGCATTTGACGATGCAAACTATACCTGAAATTAAGATGTGAACCAGGGAAAGATCCCTGTGTGTGTGTGTGTGTGTGTGTGTGTGTGTGGAAGCAGATAGCCGAGCTGCAAGATTTGAAGAATCTTGACAGCTTGTCGAGGCCCTCCTACCCCCGTAATGAATTTCAGCCTTTTGTGGTGTGGTGTGGTCCCGGCTGCACTGATAAGCCCCGGCACTAATACAGTTTAACAAGGAGCGCTTTGTGTGTGTCTGTCTGTGTGTGGAGGGGAAGGGGGGTGAAGGGGACGACTGTGACATGGTGTTTACCAGCCTTTGAGCAGAAATAGCTCGACGTGTCGCAGGGTTTGTCAATAATGATGATGAGTGTGTGCGTGAGTACTTTCATGGGGCCTGCGTATTCCTGTGTTACGCAACTGTGTACTTCTACTCCACTAGAGTGTATATGCTCATTTATCTGAAAGCTACGTCTACTATTTTAAATTCTAAATTACTTTAGCGTGACTGTCAAATCTGCCAGTTAGCAAGTGCCCCAAAACATCAGTGGGTTTGGTGGGAGTTCCTCAACCGCACGTCTACCATCGTCATCCCCACGACTTTAAACTACGCCCAGGTTCCTCACTAAGGCAGCGCTACGTCGGCTCTCTGCCCTCCACCTTCTACACTTAAATAGAATAATATATCAAAACCATGAGAGGTGTCCTTCCACCGAGATCTGCACACACACACACACACACACACACACACACACACGCTGTTGTTGGAGTCGAGGCGACCACGGATGTTTGTGCCTTGTCACTCGTAAATGTCACTCGTCTCTCTGAGCTTCATCTGCATTTGAATTGCGTGTGTGTGTGAGACACTGACATGTGCAGGTGTGTGTTTGATGGACACACTGCTGCTCTCCGCCTCCCTTTTGTACAACGCCTGCCAACACAATGATGCTCACAGCATTGATTTTCTCGTGCCATTTGTATAATTATGTCCCCTCCCTTTTTTTATCCGTCCTCTCTCTCTGTCTCTCTTATCTTTGCCCTCTCTTCTACTCCTCTAATCCCCCCCCGATCCATTTTTAGGCCTCGCTGTGCCCGTGCCTCGTTATCTCGGGCCTTTCTCTTTCTTTTTCCTGTTTGATCTCAACTTCTTAATTTCCTCTCTCATCTACGTCACCAGCCCCCACCAGCCCCCACCAGCCCCCACAAGCCCCCCGCCGCTCTCGCTGTGATGCTCGTCATTGTTTCTCCTTTTGCTTATTGTTCTCCTGCCCAACCACTTCCGCTTCGCTCCAGCTCTTCCTCTTTCCCGTGGAGGCTTCCCCTGTTCCCACCGACCCGCTTCTCTTATTTTCTCTCATTTATGTCCCGTCTCCTTCTGTCTTCCCCTGCAGCATCTTTGGAGTGCAGTCCGTCTTCACCGTAGTCTGAAGGAGGAGGACTGGCCCGTCAAGAAAGGACGCCCACTGCCTCGCCATCATCTACAACCTCATCGCTCCGTCTCACACCTCCGATGGAAAAAAAAACCAAGCATCTTCTTCCCGGCCGCCCCTGAGATCGCTCCCACGGGCTCCTGACGCCTCCCAGGCTCCTGGACTCCAGCTACTGGTTTCCGTTAGAGCCGCCCGGTGTCCCGTCCGACCTCTCACGCTATAACTCCGTACGCTACTACATATCGGACCACCTCGCTCTCCTCTCCCTTTAGGGTACGCGCCTAAAACCGCGCCCTCCTCCTCCTCCGCGCTCGACCTTCCCAGAATTCCTCGCTCGCCTCCTAAAAGCATTTCTACGCTCATCTGTCCTCTGCACCGCTGCCTCCTGATTAGCGTGTGTAGCGCCGTCTGGCGCCCCAGTCGGTGGCGCGGCAGCTCCTTTTTATCCCGGCACCTCACCCCCCCCCGTGCGACTTTCAGTAGTGGCAACATAATAGCAACCCGCAGGATGTAAGTCCACCCCCCCCCCGCAAGGAGGCCACACATCTTCCCCTTAACCACTCGTGTGTGCGTTTCAGTGTTTTGTGCTGTCGTCCTGTGCGTCGCGCCCGGTGATGTGTCCACCCCACCTCCCCCCACGCCCCCCAAAGGTGAGCCTCAGAAGGACTTGGATAGCTGGACGTGGGAGGAAGGAGCAGCGTCATTAGTTGTGGGGCCGGGGGCCGGGGGTGGTGGACAACCAGAAGGACATTCCCACGTTGTCCCTTTTAGGAAGGAGCGGCTGACCGACGAACGAGAGACGGCGCAGAAGGATCGGCGGAGGGTTCCGTAAACCGAGAGCTGCTTCGACTCTGCGGCCAGTGACGAGGGGAGAGGACGAAAAGACATCACAGATGACAGAAGAGGCTTCCTCATATCCTCCCCTCCGTATCGCCACGTCTCTTATTGCTTTGCAGCGGCTTGGAACTATTTTTGGATGAGATGTATTGGAAAATAGTGTATAAAGGAGACGTGCTGTGAGCCAAACTTAATCATGGCAAATGTTGGCCGGCAGTCTACTAGGAAGATATTCTATTTATGTGTGACGGGGGAACTCAGAATCTCTGCTGTCTGGGAATAATGGCCACTCACTGTTGATATTCTACGTATTTTGACTGCACTTAAAAAGCACACGTGTTTCAAAACAAACTGCTGTTACTTGTTCTGTCGTCTTCTGTGAGTGTAACTCACATAAAACCCTGTAGCCGCTCTAATGACCTCTCAATATCAGATGATGATTCCAGAGCACCGGAGCGATATTTATCGAAAGCTTCCGTCCCCGCAGATGTAGCGGTTGTAGCTGTGAGCTGTTGTCACGGTAACCGCATCTTTCCCATCCAGGATTGGAGCGGTCGATCGGAGGCCCGTAAATAGCTGCAGACGCATTCGCCCCCAGAGAGGCCTCGTGCTGTAATGGGGTTGTATTTGTACTGGAGTCCCTCTGTGTCCAGACATTCACTGTTTGAATAGCAGCTGCAGCTTAATGTGGCCAAGACCCTGCGAGCAGATTGAATATTATTGATCAGCTCTTTGGGACGTACAGTCGGTCCTACAGGGCTACGGAAGCCTCAAGAAGTGTGTGTGTGTGTGTGTGTGTGTGTGTGGTGTGCACGCACGTGCGTGCACGCTGACAGCCACATAGGAATGGAGTTGTTCAGGCTAAAACACAAGTGGCTATTTCACGGTCGAGCAGAGATGCCGTGTCCGTGCCTGTCAAGGCCACCGGAGGACGGGGCGGTTGGGGGGGGGGGGGCGTTGGGGGGCTTGAGCTCCCGTTCAGTCTGGAATTCCTCCACTGTCAACATGTGAACTGGGAGAGATGGTTAGCAGTCGCCAAAGGTCGGTGAGCTTGAGAGCTGGTTTGAAACAACCATTTAATAAAGATGACATTGTTTAAAATATTCAATGTGATTGTCATTGAAGTATGTGATCCATCAGCGTAGCATTAAGACTAGAACCCGTTTGCATTACTCCGGCCAAAGGCAACACCGGCATCTTTAAAGCTCACCAATGACCAGAGTAGCATCTCATTTGTCTCATTGACATTTGCACAGGTCAGTTTTTTTGAATCAGGCGTTTTTGTTGAAATGTTCATGAGAACATCCAAGCAAAAGAAATAATTTTACTTATAAAATGGGCTTATTTGATTTCTAAGAGTTATAATATGTGTTCAATACCACTTAATGAATCTAATAAATGAGCATAATAATTCAGTTGGCTCAGTCTAACGTACTGTAACACACACACACACAGTCTTCTTCCAAAGCAAGCGGCTACCTCAGGTGGTGAAAAAAGTCTGAAAAGGCAAACGTCCATTAAATGGCCACCTGATGTTGGCTCCATAAGGGAAGAAGCTCTGGGGAAATATTAGTGTCAAACTATCCAAGTTTGCTCGGTTACAGTCCGAACCGGTTACATTTGCATATAACACTTGCATTCCCAAAACCATCCAGGTATAACCAGCTCCACATCTGGCAGGTAGTCCGAGGACTTGCCTGCACTGGCTCGGCCCCGTTGTACCCGTGAGGTCTGGCACGCACTTCCAGGCGCTGGTTACACGGTTACACAAAGGACCGCCGCACTGACACAACGTTATTGCACAAGAACTTTCTCACAGGCTGACAGCACCCACCCACACACACACACACACACACACACACACACATTTCTGCATGGTATCCCTGCATATTTCTCAATAAATTATCAGTTTCACAAGTATAAATAATCAACACACAATGCAGACAGAAGGTTTTTTTGTTTCCCCCCCCCATGTTGACAGCATGTGTCGATTTGTGTTTTTTGTAACCATCCGGCATGCAGACCAAGTCTCTACTCCCAGTCTACCTACATACCGTGTAGGGTGCCTAATGATGGATATTATTGAGGATATTGAATAAAGAGTATGTATAATAAACAGATCAATCTTCATGTCCAAGGTGTTCTCAGTTTATTGTGTGTGTGATTAACCAACTAGGATGTTGCATGTCTTTTTAAATCTGCTGTGTGTGTGTGTGTGTTTGTGTGTGTGTGTGTGTGTGTGTGTGTGTGTGTGTGTGTGTGTGTGTGCGCGCCTGCTCACACATATGAAGATGTAGACTGAATAAGGAGACTACCTGACAGATGTGGCAGATGTTATTGCTTGGTAAAGTGGTCTCTGCAGGAGATGTGGATCACAACTGGGAATGACTGAGTGTGGATACTGAGCACAGCCTTTCTATTTCAAATGCCATTTTCCATTTCGCTCACACGCGAGTGGATTTGCTCATTATCGCCGCTGTTGTGTTTTTAATTGCTTCTTCAGAGGCAAATAAACCTACAATTTGAGTGAAATGATGTTAAAGGAACCATTGAGAACGAGAGAAATACACTTTCTCATCCGGCTCCATGTTGAGGGCCGTGTGGTGACAATTGATTTGCTCTGAATTCCACAATGGTCTTTAATGAATTATTCATGGCAGTCAGTTAAGCCACTGCATTTGACTTATATATGCTTTATATAGTGTGACTGTTCATCAGAAAAAACGTAAAAAACAAAACTGATGCCACACACGCTTTGGTACTCCTGCTACATGTGCTGCAGGGTCGGTGAGGAGGAGGAGGAGGAGGAGGATAACAGGCGTGAGGGATGAAGAGAAAGAGAGATATGACAGAAAATCGCTAGCACTCAGTCCCCTGCCTGCCTCTCCTGAGACCGGCAACACACACCCTCAGCACTCTGGCTTCTTAGCGCCTGCCTGCATGACTTCTCCTGCTTGCTTTCTTCCTATATGTCTGCAAAATGTCTCACTCCGCCGTCTCTCTCTTAACTTTTGCTGTTCTACTTCTATCCATCACTTATTCCGCGTGAGCCAGCATCTCTCACCTGTTCATCTTTTTGACTTTCTCCCTCCTGCCATGATTTTACCGCCTTACACTTTTTCCTGCGTCTATTTCTGTAACCGTGTTTTCTCCATCGCCGTGGATACTCCCCTTATTTCTCCCCTTATTTCTCCCCCCGCTCCTCTTTTTATTCACTAATTGGCTCCATACTGCTCTTGTCTTCTCTATTCATGTAGCCTCCCTCTCCTGCCTGTCCACGTACGTCCCGGCATCATAGTCGGGAAAGCCCTCCTCCACCCTACCCAGCCTCCTCCACCCTCATCTACCCTCCTCCACCTCCCCACCCTCCCCAGCCTCCTCCACCCTCCCCAGCCTCCTCCATGCTCTTCCAGCCTCATCCACCCTACCCAGCCTCCTCCACCCTCCTCCACCCTCATCTACCCTCCTCCACCCTCCCCAGCCTCCTCCACCCTCCTCCACCCTCCCCCAGCCTCCTCCATGCTCTTCCAGCCTCCTCCACCCTCCCCAGCCTCCTCCACCCTCCCCCAGCCTCCTCCATGCTCTTCCAGCCTCATCCACCCTACCCAGCCTCCTCCACCCTCCTCCACCCTCATCTACCCTCCTCCACCCTCCCCAGCCTCCTCCACCCTCCTCCACCCTCCCCCAGCCTCCTGCATGCTCTTCCAGCCTCCTCCACCCTCCCCAGCCTCCTCCATGCTCTTCCAGCCTCCTCCACCCTCCCCAGCCTGCTCCACCCTCCCCCAGCCTCCTCCATGCTCTTCCAGCCTCCTCCACCCTCCCCAGCCTCCTCCATGCTCTTCCAGCCTCCTCCACCCTCCTGCACACTCCCCCAGCCTCCTCCACCCTCCCCCAGCCTCCTCCATGCTCTTCCAGCCTCCCCCACCCTCCCCCAGCCTCCTCCACCCTCCCCAGCCTCCTCCACCCTCCCCCTGCCTCCTCCATGCTCTTCCAGCCTCCTCCACCCTCCCCAGCCTCCTCCATGCTCTTCCAGCCTCCTCCACCCTCCCCCAGCCCCCTCCATGCTCTTCCAGCCTCCTCCACCCCCCCAGCCTCCTCCACCCTCCCCAGCCGTCAGTCGTTCACAAGAGCAGGCGGCCGCATGAATTAAACATCTTATGTTGTGCACACGCTGAGACCCTTTGGGGTGTCAGGGGGAGCACTGGTACTCAGATGGGGGGGGGGGGGGGGTCTGGTCACACACCGTGTGTGTGTGTGTGTGTGTGTGTGTGTGTGTGTGTGTGTGTGCGCGCGTGTGCGGGAGCAGCAAGGGTTAACACATCTGCCTCCTTCATTATCTGCAGACGAGGAGCCTTCCTTTGGATGCTCTGTTTTCTCCCCCCGTCTCTCCACGTCTCTTATCTTGTTTGATATCTCTGTGCGTGTTGTTTTCAACTATTGATTTAAAGTTGTTTTTAGTGCCTTGCCCCGCTCCCCCTCCACCTTACCCCTGTGTTATCCTCCCGCTTTTTATTTTTCCCTCTTTCATTGACTTCTTTTCTTTTGGATCTTTGTTTTTCGTCCTTATGTGATCTTTCATCTATACACCCCCTCCCCCCCCCCCCCCCCCCCCCCCCCCGCCTCCCTACATCTCCTCCCTCTGTCTCCCGCTTCATCCTGCTCTCGCTGCTTCTGTCAATATGACTGATGTAAAAACCTTTCACAGCGATTGATGTTGCCTTTTTCAGAGCAACGACGGCCCCCGATCTTGGTGGGCTCTGTGTGTGCCTGTAGGTGTGTGAGTGTGTGTTTGCGTTGCCGTCGCTGTGTGTATCATTATCTCGGCGTGTGTCTGCGAGTTGCACGCCATATCTTTGCAGAGGTGTGCACACGTATAAGTGGGCATCAGGAGAATCTCTTCACCGGCTGAGGAGGTTAAGCCTCCTTATCGGCCTTCGCTGCGTGTCGGTTCAGTTTTAGATCGAGCCGACGTGAACCTCCACTCCTCCGCCTGGCCGCTGCTCGGATCTCCAACCACCACTTTTTATGGAGGTTTTATCTTCCAGCTTTGCCTCCGCGAGCGCCACAACTGCAGAGGATAACTGATTTATTGTGGACACCTTTTAAAGTGCGAGGGGTCTTTTTCAAGCTGTAAAAATCGATCCGATTGGACAATCGCAATGTGCAGAGAGAGATAATTGGTTGGGAAAACAGGAAGGTTCCATCTAAGAATGTTTGCATTCAGTTCAGCCTCCTCGTAAAGTGATGCTTGTGCCTTGAGAGCGCCGTTCGCACGCGGTGTTTCCCGCGGCCTCAAATCCGCTGCACAGAGAACGTCGAGGTGACCTGGTGAAACAACGTGACGGGAATCACGGGACAAACAACATCAGCTTGTAGATCGCTAACGATCCCCGACTTTGTTTAGTGAAGTCAGTGAGGCTTACGGCTAAATTATGGCAACTTTGCCATCATCGTTGTCATTATTGTGCGCAGTTTTTGGTTAGCTTATTACACGGCTGCTGTGCCATTGAGCTACATACATGTATTATGTTACATATGCTCAAATGATGCAGAATGATAGCAGAGACCAACCGAAAGATGATAATCCAGTGTCGACTCATCAGATACTAGCGCTTGGTCAGTGGCCCCCTGGAGCACCCCTCGGTGCACAAAGCTTTCAAACAACTCCGACGCAAGCCCATCCGTCACTGTGAGACGGTCAAAGCGTCCGTCATTTATTGATACTTTCTCATAGTTTTCTCACATGACTTAATGTACTTGATGTCAGTGATATAACAAACAAACCCGTTTCACACAGCAAACTTGACTTATTTAAACTAAAACTGAGTAAATCTCCTTGTATCAGGATACTAACGCGCCCTGACACGTTGAAAACGGTGACTACAGCGTAGTTTGAAGAGTCAGCTGTTTTTCTGTCATTTCGAAGAATTTTCTTCCTGGTTCTTGAGCAAATACAATCTAACCTAGTGTTGTGTTTGCATCCCGTCCAGCACAAAGTAGCAGACAAGGTTAGTGACTTTTATATTGAATATTACTGAATCAATAAATGCAGCTTTCTAGATGAAAATTCAAAGGTCTTTGTTTACGTGAAATCCCTGTTTGTTGCATTTGTGGCTGCAATGTTTTTGTGATAATTGTAATTAACTCTCTACTTTTCATTGCTGTTGGTGGAGTTCTTTTCCTGGCGGGGTTCAAATTGTGTAGGCAGCGTATACGCATCATTTCCTGTGAATCTTCTGCAGCTTTACACATTTTTAATCTCCTCTGGGACCGGAGGTGCAGAATATCAACGCGGTTGGATGCATGTCATGTAATCGAGGAACACATCCAAACGTCAGGAACTTTATCCTGGTGAACTGTGGTTGCAGCCTGGTGTCAACAACTGCATTGTCCTGCATTGTTTGAGACGATAATGTGTGTGACCATTTCTGCTTCTGGTTTTCGTAGGTCTGTTAACGGAGGAGGCTGAGGTGGGTTGAAGATTCAAACTGAGGACAGACCGCCGTTTGTTGTTCAGCCACAGGTCACCTCTCACAGTCAAACTGTTTTGTTCTGCAGCACAGTTGTTGAAAAGACCAAAATTTGTTTCGAAATTGGCAAGGATGTGTGAGAGTATCAGACTCCCTGATAACTTAGTTTGGTTTTGCTTTTATGTTTTGATTTCCTTGCAATGGCTGATGGGACAAAGCTAAATGGGGAACAAAAATAACAGCAACCAATTACAGTAGGTGTCACCTCATTGTAAAGCCTGACATGTGTTCGTTCAGTGCAGAGAGAGCGGCGGCAGTGCGGCCACGCGGCCCAGCAGCAGGCGGCGGCGGCGGGGATGCAGCGGGGCGCCGGACGCCCACCCGCTGCACGCTGGCTTTCTCTCCGAGCACCTCGCCACAGCTGTGTGCTCCGCCGCGCCACATCAAGGGGAGGCCGGGGTTATTGCCACTAAGTTTATGTGTCAAGGCAGAGTCAATTATACCTCAGACTGGGGAGAGGAAAACAGAGGGAGAGCGCACGCGGTAAACCTTCCTGCCCCGAGGCTGCGCGAGTGAAGGTTTCTCGTGGCTCCTTTTCTCTCCTTGTTTTTGTTTTTTTCAAAGCAAAGGTTCATGGTTCTGTGCAAATGTGCTGTTTACTCCA